CTCCTAAATCACTCGTACGCACAACTTAAGAACAAATCTGTGCGTACAAACGGTTCTTGCATGAGGCCCAATGAGTTTATCTCTGAAGTGACAAGCTAATAGTCAGAGCAGGAGGACGACCAAAATAGATTCCTATCAACTTAAAGGAAGCAAATCTAAAAAATTAGCTAGCTAAAGCACTTCCTAAACAGTGCGCTACACTTCCTGCAGGAACATTAAAATGTTTCTGACATGTTAATGAGTAATGTGAAATCAGGAGCATTATGAACATGTATGAAAGTTGTTTTAAGACAACCATAATCCTATTTGTTCTTGGTTTTACTTACTAGTTTCTCCAAATCAAAGTCTATCAAAGTGCTTTCTACAACAGGTAAAATAGTAATTAYTCATAACTATCTGAACTAGATTGGCTACACAATCCACTTTTTAAGATTTTGCTTCTGTTGTCGTGATGACTGGCTGACGTTGAGCTTTTAATAATTTTGGGGAAATTAATCAAATTTATAGATCTTCACACTGAGCTCTAGAAATGTGTGCTTGGCGTTTCTGTCCTTTCTGAAATGATTTCCACAACATAAGAAGAAAAATAATACGGATAAATTAGTCATTTTCAGTTTGTGCTTAATCTTTAYTCCTAGTACATTAATAATAATGGCAGCCGCCAAATTCCCTGCTTACCTGATTAGATTTGCAGATAATGAGTAAGGTTCAAATAGTGTTCATCGCCTGAATAAATTTTCTCTTTGTTTTTGTTTATTTCCCTTTTGAAGTATTTTTAGACACAAGACCCATTTAATATGCCGCACTTGAAATGCGTGTTGTATAATTAACGTGTTTCTGGGGACGTTCGCCTCCATAGGAAAAGCAAAGAGCAACAAAAGGCAGAGGAGAAGTGCCAAGCAGAGTTTGAACACCACTCCGATTCAGATGGTTTGTGTTCTCGATTTCTGGTGTTTTCTCCAAAAATAAGTCTTCTTCTCTCCGGTCCCCAAAAGTCTCACAAGCAGAAAAGGAAAAAGGAGGACAAATATATTCCCGGAAATTTTTTTTCTCTTTTTTTTCTTTTAATAGAGAGGGTGCGGGGAGAAGACAGAGAGAAAAAGAGAGCGAGAGCAGACACAGCAGAGAATTGAATGCATTTTTCAAAGTGGAGCTGAACTTTGTGCAAAATCCCCCCGGGGGCCACCATTATTGAAAGCCATTTCCTCTCAAAATGAGTGCGGCTCCACCATTGGCCTGGCTCTCATTAGCATACATTTGGCCTGCCTTTGTGTGGAGCCGGCTGGGGCTGCAGCTAGAGGGTTGGGAGTGAAGGAGGTGAGTGTTTGCCTAAGTGTGTGTGTGGATGCRTATTTGTTACATYATGGGGACCATTTTCCAGACTAACACAGCCTTGTGAGGACCCAWTTCTCCTYAATGGCTACAGATGGTGATTTTGGGTGGGGGTGGTTAGGGTTAGGACTGAGGTGTGAATTGAGTTTAGGTTAGGTTTAGGGTAAGGGCTAAAGAAATGACTGGAAAATGAATGGAAGTCAATGCAAAGTCCCCACGAGGATAGAAAAACTAAAGCGAGTGTGTGCACAATACAACAGGAGCTGTAGCAAAGCATCTCACAGATGTGAGCATATGGAGAGAGCGAGGTGCAGAGCTGAGGCGAGGTATGAGTCAGGAAAATGAGGATGAAATTGAAGAGGGATTGAGGTGTTCAGGCAGGCGTTTTACTTCCTCTGTCACACATTGTTTTAGATTTTTGTCATGAAGACAGACGCTTTGCTAACGCTGTTAGCCATCTCAGTTATATCATCAACTGGCCGAATCAACAACATAATTATTTTTCTGTTCGCTTCTATAACCTTTATTTAACCAGTTTAATCCCTCTAAGATCACAGATCTGTTTTTTAAGAGAGCAGCCTAAACAGGCAAGTTTTTAGGCTGTCAGAGGAAACTGTAGTACCCGGAGATAACCGACGCAAACACAAGGAGAACATGTAAACGCCACACAGAAAGACTCCAGGTCTGAGCCGGGGATCAAACCCAGGACCTTCTTGCTGTGAGGCAGCTGTGCTAACWACTTATCCACCTTGTTTTACACCAGTGAGGTAGTCTAACAAAAAACATGTAGCCTTAGTCAGCAGGTTCAGGTAAGATTTGATGTCGTCCGCTCTGACCCACAGGATGTAAATGTCTACGGTTGCTGAAGTTCCTGGTGTCATGTCTCAGACTGTGGATCTGTCAGTTACCAGGGTCTGCTAGTGGTTGTGTTGCTGAGAGAGGAAGACTGGTTTGAAACATGAACAGGCCAGTGGTGATCTGGGTGCTCAGCCAACTATTCTTACTCCAGTCACCCAGCAAGCCTGGGGTCTGCTGGAGGACCAATGAGAGCTACTCTTGGTGGCTCTGTGCTGTCTTAAGTGAATGTGGTTAACGAATGGCTTTTCAGCAGCGCACGTTACACATAAATGTCACGAACTGAGTGTTTCCTCAAATATAAATATTGTTATTGACACAAATGTGTTGTGATATTATTTTGATGTGTTCTTGTGAATTACTTTTGGGGTTGTCAGTTATTCTTGAGCATGAAAAAAATTGTCAAAGTGTTATTGTCATCTTTTAAACTCTTAGGCCAAGTTCACACTGCTTG